GTATCACTTCGCGTGAATAAGTTTGCAAATAAAAATATAAAAATTACAAAATAAAAAATGCTTCAGGCGGTGTTTGGTATAATAAATATGTACATTAAAACCAATACTTCATAGTCACGTGTGTGTGTGAGTGTGTGTGTGTGATTGCGTTTGTTTACCCTCGACACCGGAAAGAGACCATATGGGCGAGCATATACTTCAAATTCATAGTCACGTAAACCTGTTGGAATTTTATGTCTTATTTCTAGGTCAAACAACAACAACAAAAAAAACATTGTTGAAACTATAGTGACATTTGTGCATGATAAATTGTTAATGATAAAATTATTTATATTTAATAAACACATCAATTTTATCAAAGCATAACAACATTATGTATATACAACATGTATATACAACATGAATATATTGCAAAAGATTTGGTCCCAAGGTCCCTTATACATCTTTAAGGACTATTCGTTTGTTAAGAATGAACTGTTTATATAAATTATTTCAAACACTAAATGTGTGTTAATTAAGACCCGCACAGACGATAGGGTGTAGATGTACAACACAAAGTATAGTTAAGGTAGCAATATAACACGTGCATTCTGGTCGTAATTTTTAATTATATGAATCATCGTCTTTTCTTTCTTTCTAAAAAAATTCCTACAAAGCGCCAACGAAGAAGATTTTGTTTGAAAGGGAGACAAAAGGTTCGGTTACGGATAGCAAGGAGGGAGCAGAAAGGAAACATCGAGTACCTTCTGGGTAAATGGTTTAACTGATGTTCTGACCTTATGGTAAAACATGATAAATGATCCCAGCAAAAGAATCCAAAAACATTTTTACATTTTTAATTTTGTCAATCTTAAATAATTTGGGAATCAAAAAATCATACAGATATGATTGCTCATGACTTTTTTCCATTCACTACACATAGATATATGTCACTTGTCATCGTTGGGGATCAGTATGATAAGATTAACAAAAAAGACCGTGTATATTCTGTTAATCTAGCTTTATAGCAGCCACCACACATTACGTTTTGTTTGTATATCTTTGTTGGTATTACACTTCTTAATTCTACCGTCTTTTGAGATATTTTATAAGCATTTATCAAATTAATTTGATCGAACGTCTACGCAGTTCTCAACCAATTTCATTTCGTATTTGCTGTCTAACAAACACTAACCAATTAAATTAGTTATCCGCCTCAACGTGTAAGTGTTACATGTAATATAAATTTACTGTGACTTGATATAATTCCAAAAATAGCAGATGATCTGTTTCTGACAGGTTTAGTATTAATACTCAGCATGCAATATGGTTAATATCAATCACATAAATTGCGATATCTATTATGCAACTTTTAATATTTTAAAATTTGTTTTTTTTTATCTAATCAAAACTTTCATTGTTTATATTTGTTTAAGCTTAATATTACCACTGCCATCTCATGTTCATTTAATACTTATTTTTCAAAGCTCAGAGTCATTAAAAAGTCAATCAAAAACTGAGATTACCAGCGGGAAAACAAATTTAAATATTTGATAAATAATTACAGTGCAATTTAAAATAGCAATTGGGCATAAAGGACATTTTAAGTTAAACAAATTTCGTCATTTAGTATGATAATGTATAATAATTACATTCTCTTGCTGTGTAAGAGGACTATGTTAAGATAAGACTGTTACCATTATAATAACCAGACGAAATATTGAAAGCTAGAAAATGAAAATGCAGAGGGAAAGGAAAAGGGGCTTGGAAATCATGTAACATGACAATTGATAACATGTTAATATAATATGGATGGAAAAAAGTAGTTTTTATTTATTTTATAATCATTATAACATTACAACTTGCAATCAATGTCAACAATGTTGTGTTGCAGAAAGTTTCATTTAACATAAAGTATGTGAATGCATTTATTATAATAATTATGAGGTCGCAATGGTGTATGTTCAAAAGAGTATTCTCTTTATAGGCTAGTGAGAAATATTGTTTTCATATATTTCGCTGTTTATTTATCAAATATGATTTTTGTTAATTCTGAATCAGTCATCCACTTAAAAGGAATGAAATCATTTCGATCTTTCACACAAAACAACCTCACTTAATATATTACACAGCATAGTGTCGTCTCAGTGAAATATTATAAAGTTTGCTAAAGAGACCCGCATTTAATAACTCGATTGATAATTATGACAACCTGTGTGAGATCATATACATGTATATGTTGCTATTAGTAGAAGATCCTTCTAAAATTTGTGACAAAGTTGATATTCAGAAATATGACACTAAAATCAATTTTAGCTGTTTCAAAGTGTTAAAATCGTTCCTATTATTTTATTTCTGAGCAATTTCGTGCTGTTCAACGACGTCATCAAATAATGAACGGCCGATTGTTTTCTCAATAAAACTTTTGCATATCATATATATGAAACATGAATGTAACTGTCGCTGAACTTGGCTTGAACATCACAACAGTTTGTATCGGATTATCATTTTGAATGTTTCAGACTTGAGAACTATTGTGCTTGGCTGCGTTTCATAGAGATTCCTAAGTAAATACTAATTCCTAGGACCAACTTTAGGAGAAAAAGTTTTTGAACTTAAGACCGTTTCACGTAACTGTCCTATCTTTTATCTTAAACTTATGACCAATTCGCTCTCCTGAAAAAAGTTACAAAATACAATTGCACGCGCATTATCCCGGATTGGATTTACTATGTAATTTGTTAAAGCAAGTATAAAAAGTAATGTATTGCCTTCGTATCACGTTGAGTGAAAATATATACCATATTTCACGAAAAACGATAAAATAACCATTTTATTTAATTTTATAGTAAAAAAAAGTTTAATCACTTCTGTCATCAGTTTTCATTACCAAAATACGTCTTAGAATTGAATTATTCTGCTCTACTACATATACATTTTTCCAATGTGCAAACACATTCGGCGGGGTATTGCCATGTTGACATGATTTTTGTTATTATGGCTGTAGTTACCCAAACTGCACAACCTGTTGATATTTATTCGGATTAAGTAGAATAACTGCATATCAGTGATCATTTCTTAATTAATTATGATTGTCAAACATAAAGTATGTTCAATCATAATTTTACCGAAATAGACTTTATTTTCCTTTGGATGTGAAATATATACATTTGTAAAACATTATATCTGTTTTAATCAACTACTACTTTCAATCCGTATTTAGTCCAAGGGAATTATTGATAAAAGCCAAGGTGTTCCTATTGTGAATTCTTAATAAAGCTTAGAGAATGAATAAAAACCATCAAGACAGTTGCATGGATTGGTGCATCACACACGAGTTCATTAATAATATTTTAGAAAATGTAACAATATTATTGTTGTTTCAAACTGTACATTTAATTCATTAATTTTAGCAATATAGGTAAATAATAGAAATACAATTTTAAAAGTTTATCTAATAAATGACATGCCTTGGAAGTAATTGAAAACTTCATGCATACGTAATGCATAACAGTGAAAGCATTCCAAGTAAAGACAAATGAGAAAGGATAAATTTATAATTTATCATATGAGAGATGGCTTATAAGAAATTAAACATGCAAACCAAAATCCCAATTTAGAAGAAAAGTATTGTGGAGAAAAGTAAAAATACAGAACAGAACAGAACATTTTACCTTTAATTTGTTTGCAAAAGTACTCGTACATATAAATGGAATGTTTTTCATTTTGTTTACGATGCCATTTATAACATTTATTATAATTATAGATGAAATCTGTGTCTCCTTATGCAATTACTTAAGCATACCACTTACTAAGAGTTTTTTGTAGTATATTTATAAATCACCAGTAATGTTGCTGTATTTTAAATATGTGTTAACAATTTATTGAGTGAATGTACGTTTGAATTCCTTCAAAATGGATAATGCGCCTTTTGCAGTCTCACGATTTATATCGGAACTTTCGAACGAAAAATCGAGAAAGAGAAAACAAGCTAAAATATAATTATCCAGATGACAACAATCTGTCTTCGCTTTTTAAAACACACAAACTGGGTCATAAATAATTATTCAAGGATCAATATGAATTATACCTTTATTTCCTCAATACAAAACAATATATCACAATTGATAACAAAATAAATTTGGCAAAGTTTAACAATTCTTTTAACAATAATACATAACATCACTAGCAACATGTACAAAAATAGTGACATAAATGTTGAATATGAGTATCAAAAATATACCCGTTTAATTTATGTAGCAATGAACATAATGATAAGGATTGTTAGTAACATGTCCCTAACCTTCAACATAATAAGGGGACCGTGCTTAGCCTGTTGGTTTAAATACTTAGAGACAACAAATATTATTTATATTTTTCTATTGTACTATAACACACTTAAATACCGGATTTATTCAATCTATGGTTCACCTGTGTTAATATTGCATTGAACAATTAATTCATACCTTTATATCAAGGGATATATACTTGTATTGCTTGTAGTTATATAGTATACAAAGATAAAAAATACTGGCCGTAACATAAATATGTTTTCAGCCAGTTTAGGCATCATTACGTATTGACCATTTGACGCTGGGTTGGCTATTAAACATTCCAGGCATTATTGAATCAAATTAATTTGAAATGATATTTAATTTTTCGCTGTAAAGATGAGTACAATTTGTAATATATTTCAAATGAATACATTTTACAATTGTTATTAACAATACAACCAAAAACTAATCATAAATAATGTGTATGATCTAAAACTCCATAAAACTGAAAAAAAGACTGCCCCATTCTTTTTCAACAATGTAAGATAAATTTCATTCAGTCAAGTGGATTATTGAATATTTTTTTAGCAACATGGCTTCGTTATGCTTTAAATATAAAACTATAATTATATCAATTTTATAAGCATAACAATTATGGAACAATGCTCATTTGTCACTAAAATTGACTGGTTCGCAGTGACGACATATATTTTTAGTAGTCAAAAACACAAAAGGGTTCTCTTATACTTAGGATACTCTCCCTTGCGAGGAACTAAGTCTATAAAGAATTCTTTTACGGTTGTCTTCTTTAACTGACTGACAATTTAAGATGAGATATAAAGCGTGTCTAAAATTTCTTCCAAAGCATGCATACAAGAAGAAATTACAACTGAATGTCATGTAATAGAATACAAGTGTCATTTCCTGTAAAAAGGAAAACTGAATACTAATTGTTTGTCTATCTGTTGTAATAAGAGATATAAGGTTGTACAATCGCATTATATGTGATGGTAGATTTAAAACAAGGAAAGTAGTAGAAACAAAAAGCAAAGTTCTTGTGACACGCACTTGTGGACTCCGTCGTTGAGATTTTGTAGTGTTAACTCTTATTTCAGGCCGTTTTCGGAGGGATGATAAAATACCCTTGTCGAGCATATTTACAAAAGATGTCACTTTCATAAAACCCTTTTCTCGTCGTTTCGATGTGGTTGGTTTTTCCTTTGGCTGGCACTTGATGACACTCCGTAATACCATAGAGTTCATGAATGCAATAAGTAGGAATGGTATTATCATAGTAATCACTGTATCAATCCATGTTACTATATTTAGAAACTGAATGTATTTTGGATTGTGTGAGCATCGCATAACTGGACCCCATTGCTCCATACCAGTTGTCCAAAAACTAAAATTGTACATGAGGCAAGTAATTGTTGCCAGGATTAACACAGTTCCTTTTTCTCGAAACAAACTGCATATTAAAGTACTCTTTAATGGAAAACATATTGCAATGAATCGTTCAAACGTAAAGCAAACTATAAACCATACACTCAAACAGCTGGCTACATACGTAGTGTAAATGAGCAATTGGCAAGCCAAATCTGTCACAAGAATGGAATTAATTTCCCCGTCAATCCAAGTAATAAGAAGGCAAACTAGGAATGTATTGTCCACAAACGCAAGGGAAGCTAAAAACACGGAACTTGATGTTTTCCGCATACTCTTTGTAGAAAACACCATTAAAGAAAGAGTGTTTCCCAGCAAACCAACAACAACTATCACAGGTATGCAAATGTTCCTCATCACTTTGATGGCTTCAATCCAAGGAGACACTGACACTTGGTCATGGGTCCATGTCATGTTTGAAGACGCGTTGAACTGTGTATCTGAATCCATTTTATGTACGTTTTTTTGTTGATTTAGTACGTCAAATTCAATTGTGTACCGGTTTTACTCCTTTATTCCATTTATATGTAAGACCATCTTCCAAAAAATAACAATCAACATTGAATTGTAAACGAACAAACTTTGAAAATGTTCCAAACAAGTGTTCTTTTTATTCGTTACGATCTATATCTAAATGTAACTTAAAAAGTATCTTTTCTGTTATTGCGTCCTGATACTTCAACTGTATTTAACTTTGTGTGCTGCAGCGAGTAATAAGCCTGTATTTATAGAAGCAGAGATTGTTCAATAATTGCACACAGTTGATTCGCTAGAGACAAGGTCGATAAATGTTGACATTTTCAAGAATCCTATAATCTAGATATATCTAAGGTTAGTATACGAGATAAATATTGTTACATGTAATTGTACATGTTTGATAATTTCTATGATTATTTATCAATACAAATGACTTTAAAATGACTATTGCCAAGACATTTCGAAAATTGAAATATCCATTTATAATGCCTTTATTGTGATTTCTTACATTTCTATACTGCTGATGCTGCTGAAACTTTATAAAAGGTTTATCAATTAGTTTCTTTTCCCAACAAAATTATTCGCTTTTCAAATCTTTTTTATATAGTAGACTTTTATAATTTTAATCATGGAGGCAGGTTACATATTGGCATGGGTTATACAATAATACTGTTGAACAACAATATGCATTAAAATTTTGTTTTAATTCTATTTTCTGTGATAATTGCCACCACGTATAATCAATTCCCCTCTATTTCATGTCATCGACACTTAAGCATCACAATAACAGTAACGTGAAATATTATCTTTGTGTATTAGTTTGTTTAGTTTAACCATAATTTCACTATATAAGTGTAGACACACACAAGAAATAGAACAGTTAACAAAAGCAAATGGGTTGGGCAACACAAGTTCTACATTACATTAATCCCTACCCTTTTTATTCATATCTTTTATGTTGGTTTGTATTCAATGATGATGTAACTAAAGATTGTGTTGTCTCATTTCGTTTATAATTACATACATTACATAAAATTGCATGGAGGTAAATTATCACCACTTTGTGCTTCAAAATTAACTATTTAAGGACATGACTGGTGACATGTCCGGGGTCCGTACTCGACAGCTTAAGCTGCATTTTGTGCCCGAAAGGGCGGATGGACCCTCATTAAGCTTTAACTTCATCATCATCATATACACAATCACAAAACATACAGGATATTTGATATGAAGGACGCTTACATTGCTTTTAGTATAATTTATCAGGAGACATTTGTCGTAAACTGATTTTATTATTGACGTTATTTGGAAAAAGAAAAACGCACTTGATTGTCTTTTAGAGAATAATTGTATTGGACTCTTTAGCGTCCAATATGGGAATATATTGGTTGCTACCATTTACAAGCAGCGAGTGGATTTTTATAATTGACACAGAATAATTGTATTCATTTCAGTTTGAACGATTTTAATGAGCTGAACAACGCTGACCATAACCCTGGGTAATTAATTTATATCTCGGAAAGACAACTGTTTTAGGTTTTACACAAGGCGTTACAGTTGTTCGTAGTTTATTGACAATCTATGTTTCCAAATGTCTTCAATTATTATTATAAATATAAGGAGTACATATCCTAAAGATCAACTGGATGGAAAAAGTAAGAAAGAAAAGAATGATAGTATTTTTATTTATCTTATAATGATAACAACATACTAATGTTGTGTTGCAGAAAGTTTCATTTAACAGTAAATACATTTATTATAATAATTATGAGATACCGCAACGATGTATGTTCAAAATAATACTCTCTTTATAGGCTAATGTGAAATATTGTTTTGATATTTTTCGCTGTTTTTTATCAAATATGTTTTTTTTTCAATTCTAAATCAGTAATCCACTATGACAAAAGGAATGAAATCATTTTGATCTTTCACGCAGAACGACCTTATTTAAAATATTACACATCATCATGTCGTCTTATGGAAGTATTATGAAGTTTGCCAGAGCCCCGCGTTATAACAATTCTTTTTAACTCGAGCGATATAAAGTTCTATTGAAGCAACTCGTGTGAGATCATATCCATGTATATATTGCTATTAGTAGAACATCGTGTTAAGATATGTGACAAAGCTGATAATCAGAAATATGATACTTAAATCAATTTCAGCTGTTTCAAAGTTTTAAAATCGTTGTTGGAATCGTTCATATTATTTTATTGAAGAGCAATTTCGTGCCGTTCACTGACGTCATCAAATTCTGAACATAAAGCTGATATTGGCCGATTTTTTTCTCTTAAAAAATGTTTTGCTTACTACATATTTAATAAAAAGGAATGTAACTGTCGCTGAACTTGGTTTGAACCTCACAACAGTGTGTATCCGATTATCAACTATTGTTCTGATTTATAGTATAATAGCATATTGAAACTCGTCATTCGCTTCTTTTCGGTCCTTTCCGTCAAACCTCGGATAAGAACCTCGAACACAATACTAAGACTACACAGAACTGATACGGCTGTTCGCGGTATTTCAGTCTAACGTACGCTAAGAAACAAAATATGTGAACACATAATACTGTAATGATAGGCGTTCAAGACTAAATTCATACCAATTCACCGAATAAAAGTCCAACTACATTAAGCAGCTTTACACATATAACAGTAAACTGTACACTATTATATGTATAGTCAGTCATATTATTATGACTGTAGAAACAAATTACACAATGTCTACCTGTTGAAATTTATTCGGATTAAAAAAAATAACTGTACATCAGTGACCATTTTAAATTTACTATGATTGTCAGACATATGTATAATCACAATTTTACCGAAATAGACTCGTTATACATAATATTTGCTTCAATTTACTACTGCTTTCAATCCGTATTTAGTCAAAGGTTATTATTGATAATAGCCAAGGTATTCCGATTGTGAATTCTAAATAAAGCCTGGAGAATGAAATAAAACCATCACGACATTTAACTGGGTTACTGAGTCACACATTCATTAATAATATTTTAGAAAATGTAACCATTTTTGTTTCAAAATGTACATTTAATACATTAATTTTAGCAAAATAGGAAAATAATAGGAAGATATTTTTAAAGGTTTATCGAATAAATGGCATGTCTTGGAAGTAATTCAAAACTTAATGCATACGTAATGCATAACAGTGAAAGCATTCCAAGTGAAGACAAATGAGAAAGGACATACTTATAATTTATTATATGAGAGATGGCTTATAAGCAATTTAAGACGCAATAAAGAAGAATTAAGTATTGGAGAGAAACGTTAAAATACCTTTAAAGCTTCATAATTAAAGAACATTTTAATTTCACTTTGTTCACAATAGTACTCGTATATACACATTGAGTGTTTTTCATTTTTCTACGATGCCATTTACGAGATTCAAATGAAATCTGTGTCTCCTTGTGTAATTACTTAAGCATACCTATTACTAAAGGTAAGGTTTAATATACTTATAGAACGCAAACAATTTTGTTATGTTTTAAATATGTGTTATAACATTTATTGAGTGAATGTACTGTTGAATTCCTACGAAACCGATAATACGCCCTTTGTGGTTTTACGCATTTATATCAGAACTTTCGAATGAAAAATCGGGTAAGAGTAAACAAACTGAAATATAATTATTCAAATTACAACACTCTGTCCTCCCGTTTTCAATACACAACGGTCATAAATAATTGCTCAAGAATCATCAATATGAATTATACCTTTATTTCGTCAATACAAAACAATATATTACAATTGATAACAAAATAACTGTGTCAATTTTTAACAATTGTTTTTGCAATAATACATAATATCACTAGCAACGTGTACAAAAATAGTGACATAAATTTTGAATATGAGTATCAAAAATATACCCGTTTTATTAATGTAGTAATGAATATAATATAATGATAATGATTGTAAGTAACATGTCCTTAACCAAGTTCTTATTTTATTCAACATAATAAAGGGACCGTGTGCTGATAATGTTTAAATGCTTAGAGACAACAAATATATTTTTCATCTTTTTCCATTGAACTATTACACACATAAACACCGGATTTATTCAATCTATGTTCACCTGTGTTTATGTGGTTTACATCATATTGAGCATTTCATAGCCTTTATATCAAGGAATGTATATATTTGTATTGCTTGAAGTTGTATGTAAAGATAAATTATGCTGGTCGTAACATAAATATGTTGAACCGGCGACCTTTTTTCAGCCAGTTTAAGCATCATTACATATTGACCATTTGACGCTGGGTTAGCTATTTAACATTCCAGGCATTACTGAATTAAAATAATTTATAATGATATGTTATTTTTCGCTGCAAAGATGAGTACAATTATTTATAATATATTTCAAATGAATTGCTTTTATAATTGTTATTAACAATACAACCAAAAACTGATCATAAATAATGTGTATGAACTACAACTACCTAAGACTGAACTGAAAAAAGACTGCCCTACTTCTTTACAAGGATGTAAGATAAATTTCATTTAGTCAAGTGGATTATTGAATATTTGTTGTAGCAACATGGCTTCGTTATGCTTTAATATAAAAATATAAGTACATCACTTATATGGGATTACCAATTATGGTATAATGCTTATTGTTCTCTAAAATAAGTTGGTTCACAGTGAAAACATTTATTATCAGTAGTCCAAAAAACAGAAAGTGTTCTCTTATACTTAAGATACTCTTCCTTGCGAGGAACTAAGTCTATAAAGAATTCTTTGACGATTGTCTTCTTTCACTGACTGACAATTCAAGATGAGATATAAAGCGTGTCTAAAATTTCTTCCAAAACATGCATACAAGAAGAAATTACAACTAAATGTCATGTAATAGAATACAAGCGTCATTTCCTGTAAAAAGGAAAATTCAATACTTATTGTTTGTCTATCTGTTGTTATAAGAGATATAAGGTTGTACAATCGCATTATATGTGATGGTAGATTTAAAACAAGAAAAGTAGTAGAAACGAAAAGCAAAGTTCTTGTGACACGCACTTGTGGACTCCGCCGTTGAGATTTTGTAGTGTTAACCCTTATTTCAGGCCGTTTTCGGAGAGATGAAACAATACCCTTGTCGAGCATATTTACAAAAGATGTCACTTTCATAAAACCATTTTCTCGTCGTTTCGATGTGGTTGGTTTTTCCTTTGGCTGGCACTTGATGACACTCCGTAATACCATAGAGTTCATGAATGCAATAAGTAGGAATGGTATTATCATAGTAATCACTGTATCAATCCATGTTACTATATTTAGAAACTGAATGTATTTCGGATTGTGTGAGCATCGCATAACTGGACCCCATTGCTCCATACCAGTTGTCCAAAAACTAAAATTGTACATGAGGCAAGTAATTGTTGCCAGGATTAACACAGTTCCTTTTTCTCGAAACAAACTGCATATTAAAGTACTCTTTAATGGAAAACATATTGCAATGAATCGTTCAAACGTAAAGCAAACTATAAACCATACACTCAAACAGCTGGCTACATACGTGGTGTAAATGAGCAATTGGCAAGCCAAATCTGTCACAAGAATGGAATTAATTTCCCCGTCAATCCAAGTAATAAGAAGGCAAACTAGGAATGTATTGTCCACAAACGCAAGGGATGCTAAAAACACGGAACTTGATGTTTTCCGCATACTCTTTGTAGAAAACACCATTAAAGAAAGAGTGTTTCCCAGCAAACCAACAACAACTATCACAGGTATGCAAATGTTCCTCATCACTTTGATGGCTTCAATCCAAGGAGACACTGACACTTGGTCATGAGTCCATGTCATGTTTGAAGACGCGTTGAACTGTGTATCTGAATCCATTTTATGTACGTTTTTTTGTTGATTTAGTACGTCAAATTCAATTGTGTACCGGTTTTACTCCTTTATTCCATTTATATGTAAGACCATCTTCCAAAAAATAACAATCAACATTGAATTGTAAACGAACAAACTTTGAAAATGTTCCAAACAAGTGTTCTTTTTATTCGTTACGATCTATATCTAAATGTAACTTAAAAAGTATCTTTTCTGTTATTGCGTCCTGATACTTCAACTGTATTTAACTTGGTGTGCTGCAGCGAGTAATAAGCCTGTATTTATAGAAGCAGAGATTGTTCAATAATTGCACACAGTTGATTCGCTAGAGACAAGGTCGATAAATGTTGACATTTTCAAGAATCCTATAATCTAGATATATCTAAAGTTAGTATACGAGATAAATATTGTTACATTTAATTGTACATGTTTGATAATTTCTATGATTATTTATCAATATAAATGACTTCAAAATGATATTTACCAAGACATTTCAGAAATTGAAATATCCATTGAGAATGGCTTTTATTGTGATTTCTTTCATTTTAATGCTGCTGACGCTGCAGAAAGTTTATAAAAGGGTTATCAATTAGTTTCTTTTCCCAACAAAATTATTTGCTTTTCAAATCTTGTCAATATAGTACATTTTTACAATTTTAATCATGAGATTAGGTTACATATTGGCATGGGTCTTATAATAATACTGCTGAACAAAAAATGCATTAAAATTTTATTTTAATTATATTTTCTGTGATTATTGCCAACACGTATTATTAATGCCCCTATATTTCATGTTATCGACACTAAGGGATCACAATAACAGTAACGTGAAATTTTATCCTTGTGTATTAGTTTGTTTAGTTTAACCATATTTTAATTATATAAATGTAAATACACACACGAAATTGTATAGTTAACAAAAGCAAATGGGTTGGGCAACAAGTTCTACATTACATTAATCCCTACCCTTTTTATTCATATCTCTTATGTTGGTTTGCATACAATGATGATTGTAACACAAGATTGTGCTGTCTACTTTCGTATATAATTATATATGCGAATGATTATATAATTCATCATTATTTAAAAATAGAGAAAAAAAGGAATCTCTAAAGAAAGTTCAAAACCGTTAAGGCAAATTTGAAAATGTTGCAGGCACGAGTTGATTGAGTCTGTTCATGGACGGTACTGTCAAGTACAAACTACCGTCCACGTCCTCTAGCAACAGCTTAAGAAGAATTCAACATTACAATTAAATACAAACGGAGATTTGCTTGCTAATTAGTAGATATTAGCACTGTCAGTATTGAATCATTTAAGAGATTTTACAAATGTATGATCAATGTAGATTTAATACAGCATAACAAGCAAATCATAATGACATGATTTAAATGATCTGAACACAAAATAAGGAAAATATTTATAAAAAAGCTTGTACTATAAAACAAACTGGAAATGTGATGCACCGATATAAACCGCTTAAGCATTAACAATTAGATTTAAAGTAATTGTGTAATGATAATAAGTATATTAAAGATTAATTTTTGAAATAATCGATCTATTCTCAATGACAGATAATGTTTGTAATAATTTATTATTTTATAATAAAGGTTACATCAATATGTCGTTAATTTTATTGAATAGAAACAGTTCTGTTCTGTTGATTTTATTTAAACACAAAATCAAACGCAACAAACAGCAATGTTATACACATTGAGTTAATGCTTTCAAATGAATGTACACAGTTATTTGTATATATGTAAAATAGTGTGCTGTTTCGCGGAAATTGTTTTATAAGGCGTTAATGTCTTGTCAAAACATCTCTTGATATGCATTATACAGATTTTATGCAAATATAAATTCTTTATCTTTACAAAAAACTGTTAATATATATTTTTAAAGTATATGTTTGTTTTAGATATTAAATCATATTGAACATTTCATGTCTTAGGGGGTTGTGGGGCATGGACGGTAGCTTACAATTACCATAACCATCCATGGAAAGAAGCTCAATCAAATCAAGAAAGCAGCATTTTTAACTTTCTCCTGTTGGATTTTGTTTTTCACTACTAAAAATGACGTTTGATAAACAACTTTTTCTTTGTTATTCTTTTATAATATCAGTTTCTAAAAGGAAAATATTATTTTGAGAAATTCGCATGAAATTGCCTTTTATATAGACGTTATAATATGAAGATTTGACGTCAATATTTTACAGCATACGAGTGCATGATCATTTTTATCTTGTTTATAACCCATATAATTTCTAGTTTTATTTATTTTTCTTAGAAAAAGTAAGAAAACTTGCACATATACATGTAAGTATATACGTATTTGATAGATAACAAAACTTTTGATATTCTACTTAATTTGCGCAAGTCAAAATCTTTTATTTTTCTTAGACGTAATTAAAGAAATCATAGTTAATATGTTTGACATTCAACGCAGTATTGTCACAAAAGCCTAAGGTCTAGATTGGTTGAAGAAATGAAAATGATATTAAGTGCAGTTAATTGTATCAGTCACTTTACAAACATTTAATTGATAAGTGGATAAAGAAATAATACAATAACGGTTAATTGGCTGTTTATTTAGGCCTTATTAATTTTTTACTCGATTTTCTAGCGATTCGACACAAAAGATTTTTACATTGTAGGTCGTTTTAGTTTTAGAACGGTTACCCACATTTTAATAAGGCATCAACAGTCATGTCATGAAATGTCTATTTCGGCAGTTTTTTCAAGAGAAATAGTGTAAAGATTATAATTTACAGAAAAAACAACAAATTGAAATATCAGTATATGAGAATTGTTGTCTTTAAATTCAATTAAGTTACCAAACATGTAGACAATATCAATTTTTAATAAGGAAACATAAAGACAAAAAGCAATTTCCTTCATACATGATATTCTGCATGTAGAACTTTAGAAGGATGGTTGTAATGTGAAAACAATTTATATTGACATCGCTCTGTGTGCAATAAGTTAGCTTTATTGAGTGTACTTAGAATATTTCTTCAGAGAAAAAAGCAACATTTCTGATATTTCTTCTTAACAAAATAAAACACGGTGCAGATTTAGTGTTTAAAAATGGATACAATTAATTAAAGTATTTGCCTTACATATGCAATTACAAATGCAGATCGAGTCAAATTCGGATCGAGTCATGTTGAGATTCTCTAAAAGATTTTACTAGACTTAATGAAAAAATAATTATTATTCGACGTTTTCAATGGAACACCGCCCTCTGAGATCAATAGGCAGAGCATCGTATTTGTTATCCATGGGTCAGTTAGTTTAATCCTCTGGCGAACAGAAATACATCCGAGACATTTGAACAAGGACATTGAGTCTCATGGTTATTTCTCTCTCGTCACTTATTCAAAAACCGTTGGAATAAGTTATCTGTCGCTTGCAAACACATTGAAATTGCTTAGATGTCCAGGAAAGGCGGATCGACCCTTTAGGTATGACTAAATTAATCATACTTTGCTTTTTTTGCGTTCATTGTTGGTGAGTTTCGTTTGACTTTATATCTAAAATTCAACCAAATACTGCTGACTTGATAGCAATTTCAGCAAAAATATATTGTTTCCAAAGTGTTAGCTTAGAATAATCATATAAATTGTTACGGTTTCCATAAAAAACATCCTTGTTGAACACCATGATATTCACGCTGGTTAATTACTAACATATTGTATAGAGTAAACAATAAATGTGTAATCGTCATCTGTACCCATGCCTGATAATTGGTCTTGGTTTTGTGATCTGGAGCTGTCAAGAGAACTTTATAACAATCAACAAGTTTTAAGTTTATACTAATTTGATATAGCTATAAAAGTTGCAAGAACTGAAATTACGTCAACTGTTATCTCGTGATACTTTTTTTGTTCCAATTATTTGCATTGTGGTGCAATACCTGTCATATAACATTTTTTATGATCCGTTAATTAGCAATGTAGTTGCGTTGGCGTTCTTTCAAGTGCATATTATGTCTTAAATAGTTCGTTCTTGTTTCTTGCTTAAAGATATTCAAACATAATGTCGGTTTGTGTTGCAATATCGACTAATGATTGTGGTCAGAGTATAAGAATCATACTCTATCTGCCGGTACAGACCGGGCTATCTAGCTCGGAAGTAACTTTTTACGGTGGTCACGAGGCTATGTCGAGTTTTCCCTGAACAGTTACACAAATACTAGAAAATCCCGTCGGTGATAACAGCTGGTGTTTCATGTTTTTCTTGCCTATTCCATATTAATCATATTTTGAAAAGAAATGATGAAAAATAATATTATTACGCAGCACTTTATTTCTTATAGTAACGTAGGAATTAACAATTTTATTCATAACGTAAAATGACGACAGCGTAGGAAAGAGATTCAGTTATAAAAAACGCGCAAAAATGCGGTCATCTAAAGCAAATGGGGGGTGAAACAAAAGGGTTTTTAGCGACTGTTTAAACAGTTGATAGGTTTATCTGATAAAATAAACACTAAAAGTACCATACTTATCAAAATTAAACAAAATTAGGTTTTATAACTACATGTACATGCAATTCTTATTAACGGGCGTTCCTTTTTAATTGGCATGTCTTCCGAAATAACAGGCCAAATCAGTTTCTTAAAACTACTTTTCAATCTAAATATAATGGGTTATATAAATCTAATTATTGCTTCAAAACATTTATGTTTTGGCATTTGTGCTTCGAAGACAGACATTCTGCATGCTTATTTGTAACGGTTTGTGTTGACAAATATCGATCATCATTAATTAAAGTTTGTGTTATCATTGTTTTGTCCACGGGTAAAAATTTGTTATGCCGATAGTTTTTGTTTCTATCATTAGTTCTACCGTAGAAGAGTGTTCTTGATTTATCATTATAAAATGCAATGAAATCTCACAGGGGGAGAAAAATGTGCAGCTTGACCGGGAATCGAACCCGGGACCCCGGGAATACTGTTCTGCGGCTGTACCGACAAAGCTATTCTGCCGCTTCCACATCTTC